CGTGTATATTCCAAATAATACTGTTATTGAAGAAGAGGCATTTATGAATTGTTCTGGAATACAAGAAATCATTATCGGAGAACATTGTCACATTCCAAGAAATTGTTTCAGAAATTGTGGTACTATTAAACAAATTATTATCAACGATTGGGTTGAATTTGATGAGAAAGCATTCGTTCATTGTACAATTCAATCAATTAAATCTCCACATAATGTATTAAACGGTAAAATTCCTTATTGGATGAGTATTATTGCATCAAAAAATAATATTGAATGTTCTACCATAGAATATACTCGCTACGATAGAATGTGTTATGGAAGTAATGTCCCTACTCAATGTAGTCAACTTGGGAATAGAGTTTTTAATTCATGTAATAATAGTTTGATTATTCTTCCAGCTACAATTACTAAAATTGGGGCTCAATGTTTCAATCACTGCAAACACTTAAAAGAAATTAGATTTAATAAAATTCTTGAGGATAAGATTGATGCTCCACCTACAATAACAAAAGTTCCATTTTAGTATTTTTTGTTTTATAAACATTTTTTTTTGATGATAATAAAAAGAAAAAAACTATTTAAGGAACTTGAAAAGAAAAAAGAGAAAAACAAAAGAAAAAGAATTGAAATGGAAGAAATGGGAATTGATCAAAATGTAAATGAAATCTTGAGGTTATTTGAAGAAGAGTTGTTAGATAGTTCATTAAAAGATTTTAGAGATGTAATTGATGGAGACCTCACAATTAAAGAACTTGAAGATATAGTTAAACAAGGAATTACTGAAGAAATTCCTACAGTCATAGATGCTGCAAAACAACTAACCGAAAGTAATTTTGAACGAGGTGATTTATTACGAGAGGCTCATATTGTTGGACAGCAATATCAATTTTTACAACAAGAATTAAGATATTACAAAGAGTTGTTAAATGAACCAACTAATAAATAGTAAATAATTTTATGTTGGGACAGTTTTGGTTATTTTTCATGAGAAAAATAGTACAATAAAATCATACTTTTTTAAATTAACAAACGGTATGAATTGTTTTATTAACAAGAAGAGGTTAATATAAGAAAAGCATAAAACCAAATACTTTTCCAATAAATAAATGGTTTAACATAACACTTCATTCTGTTAAACGCTAATGATAAATATGATAAATACGAATACCATTGATACCATAGAAACTCCAGAAGAACATAACAAAGTATATTTTGAAATTGATTCACCACATTGAACACAACCCAGTTGTAGGGATAAACCACTACAATCGTTGGATAAATAATCAAAAGTAACAAGAGAATTATTAATAACTTTAAATTGAGAAGACCCTGAAGGTGTAGAAGAGCATGCCTCAGTGATATATATAGTTTCTTCATCAATTGGTTCATCGTGCCCCCGACAAGGTTTGAGTGCAGCGATTGATTTTGGTGAAAAAGATTCGATAGATGAAGGTTTTATTTCTTCTACAGAAATTCGAGCACCTGAACAGTCATTAGAAGCAAAGTGTAATACGAATGAATATGATTTTACGAAAACTAATTTCTTTGAACCTGTTTTTGTTATTATACACTCATCTTGCTTCATCTTTGTGAAAGATAAAATCTCTCCTTTACTGTTTTTTTCTAGTGGAATAATTAATTCAAAAGCAATTGAAAGATTTACCAACACAAAAATGAGCATTAAATTTTTCTAGTTCTTCTTTCAATTTTCTTCTTTTGTTTATTCTCCAAATTTATAAAACAAATTAATAAAATAACATATTTTTTACTAAGTCATTCAACTTTTTTTTTATTTTTTATTTCATAAACCATATTATGATAACTCAATCAAACACTCAGATAAGAGTTATAATAAATGTTGTAAAACAAGAAGAACCCTTTTTCATTAAACCAATAGAAAGACTTTGTGTTGTTATGTACTTTTTATTTAATATTTTTCTTAAACTAAAATAGTTTAATAACAATCAATCATTGTTTAAAAAACTACTGTAATCATAAAATTGACCTTTGAAAGATTAGCCATTGACCTAATCGTTGGTATCACTTTTCATATCCCAAAAATACCTTTTATTATAATAGACAACACTACCTAGATTACTCTTTCTTAGATATTCTATTGAATTTCTATTTAGTATCAAAATATTATTAAAAAAGGTTTCACATTAACTTAACTCTTTATGTTATTCCTACTTAGCTTACTGAAAAGGGGTTGCTAAATCTTAGTTGCTTGTTTTATGGTTATAATGAACTGTGACTTAGATTAGGAAGTTTTAACTAACAGAAAAAAAGTATTAACTACAAAAAACACATTCGTATCAACCAATTATTTTGCTAGTATTACTTTATTTTATATCCTTGATTTCTTTATTTGATATTTTAATTACAGAAATACATTACAACAATATATTACTTTGTTGTTGAGACACATAATTTTTATTATTATTTATTTCAGCTTTTTTCTATTCAAAGTGGCAAATGAGAAACACCATACAGAACAATAAAATAATTCTAAGCTTTGAACCCTCGTTTATCGTCTGGTTATTGTGTTGCATTTGATTAGAAAACATCTTACTCAATATTATGAGAATAACAGTGATTATTATTTATGTTGATTGAATGTCATTTATAATAAAATCTACTTATTTATAAAGGTATAATATTATTTACTTGTTAGAATATAAGTATATTTGATAATATAGTTTATTAAAGAAAATAGATTTTGTTATTGTGGTTGATGCTAAAAAAAATTATTCATAGTAATATAGTGGTAATATGGTACGTTCTTCTTAAAATATGAAAGTAAAGAAGAGAGTTTTAATACTTATTAAAAATCAAACAGAAACTTAAATGATAAATATTTAAGTCAGAGATATATGAAATATTTTATTCTACATTAAATAAATAAAGAAATGAATTTCTCACTTTTCAACAATTAAAAGTTAAAGAGTTAATGGTTGATGTTCAAGGAGTCTTAAAGCAAAAGGATTAGTAGTCCCTGCTGAGCAAGGGATAATAGAAAATAAATCTATTAACATTTAATTATCTCCTTTTTATTTTCTGCTTTTTTCTCTTTATGACTTTGATTATTTCCTTGTTTTTCATTTTCCTTTCAATTGACTCAAAAAACTCAAAGAGATAGATTTTTTTGTTATTCTGAAAGAAAGTTCTATTAGAATGTGAATAAAAAAACGAAAATGCAAATAAACCAATCGTACATAATACCAAAATTAGAATAGAATAAACAAAATGACGAACGACAAAAATAAAAAACTGGTTATAGTATTAACACAAATTGTCTCAAAAAGAATATATAAAATGGTCAAAATAATAATTGTTACATAAAACTAATAACAAAACGATGAAATCTAGTTTTCAACTTTATTAAAAATTATTCTTAAGATTTTGATTTTTACTAAAAAAAAAACCCAAGGGTTTTGAACCAAAAACCTGAGAATACGAAATTTGATAGAAAAGAAACTTCTTTTTATTGTGACAAGATTTTGTTTCAAGAACCAAGTTTTTCTTTTTTATTTTTTATAAATAATTAATTTAATATTTAAAATAAATAAATTGAATTAACGTGGTGTTGAAAAAGAAGACAAATCATACAAAAAAAGGAAAAAAGAGAAAAAAAAAATTGAAAAAGATTGTTTTTATCTCGAAAAGATTACTTGGGTTTTCCCATTCGCAGTTTTTACTCGCTCTGCGACTTATTAAATAATTTCTTGCACTCTCTACCATACAAATCATCAATTAAATTTATCTATTCAAAGAAATGTATTGTTCCTGACATCTCTCCTTTAATTATTATCTTAACATTATTCCTTTTAATCCAATCAGTCTCTGGTTCTTGTATTGATTGTGAAGCTAATTATTTTAGGTGTCGAGCTGATGCTGCTCTAAACCATTTAAATAAATCCAGTGCTTCATGCAATTGTTTATTAGAGATGGTAAATTGTTATAAATCTAATGGGTGTGACAGTGAAGAAAAAATTATCAAAACTGATTATGATTATCTTCATTGTTCATTTCCTATTCCTGATTCATTGGCTTCTTATTCAAAGTCTCTTATTTCTGTTCCTATTGTTCTTATTTGTTCCTGGAACAGC